GGCTAACGCAATCATAGAAACTGTCTAATTTATAATAAATAACGATCATAAAAGGGTACGCATATATTTCAATTAAATCCTCATTAAGGCTCCTGTTTGCTCATCGTTGCTCTCAGACTTGTGACGTCAGAAGCGAGAAAATACACAATAAAAATTTTGGTAAAATGTATATTAATATAAAAATGTATTTCAATAAAACAACAATTACAATCGATAGAACCCGACTTGTAAAATATTTCAAAAAATTTCTTCTTTTCTTTTATTAATTAATGAATAATCGTATCTCTGGAAATTAATTATGCTTAACCAAAAACAAAACAAGCTGCTGAAAGCGAAACAGCTATGACAAACTGTTAAATTAATAATAGGTATGTAGAAATAAATATAATATTTAATTTCCCCCTAAAACCAGAAAATAGTTTTCGTTCTATTTTATAAATCTATTCTATCAATCGTAAATGTTGCTTTATTGAAAAATATTTCTATTCAAATATAATTTGCAAGAATTTTTATCGTGTTTTCTCGCTACTGACGCGTTACAATCTGAATTTTTATTAAGATAGCAGTTTTTTCATCTATATTAAAAAAATCAATCGTTAAAATATTTCGAGATAGTAGAGATATCTCGCTGCGATATTTAATGTAAAAGATATACAATTTACGATAGATTAGCGTTTAATTTGTGAACGTAGATTTATAAGACGCAAGAATTCCGTACGTAAAATAACTTTCATGCAAGTCCGAATATTGTCCCAGTTTCTTATATCCCTCGCAATCAATTAAACTATCTCCGTATTTAATCACAATCGTAGTACACATACGAGTAATTAAGGCGAACGGGTTTTCGCAATACTGTGCTGCCGGGACTAGCAAAACAGCTGTGTACGGAGCCCCGTAGGTATCTAATCGCGCACTTGCTAAGGAATAAACGTATATCACTTGAGCTAAACGAGCTTTTTATTCTTACGCGAGCAAGAAACAACCTGTTGGCTACGTAATCAACGGCGTGACAACGCGGGCGTTATTTTGCACACGCATTGCATCGCGCTGCGTATTAGGGTCTTGGCAAATCTGTTTAAGATTCCATTGACACCTCCCTTAAACGACTGACATAAATCAGCGGATTATCTATCTTCGTGCGAACAATGTTAAAACGATTGAGGAAAGATCGGAGAACGACGACGCGACGGGCCGTTCGTTCCGAAACCGTCTGGCGCAATAATTTCTCTATGCGAATTTTATTCCACTCGTGCCGTTCGGCCGGTATTCGCGGAAAGAAAAGAGGAAAAAAAAGGGAAAGATGTAAAAAAAAAAAAGGGAAAACACCTTGGCCTAAGTCTATCTTTAGCTCGACGCGCGTTCGGTGATGTCACTGCTTAGATACGCGGATAGAATTTCGGGTATATTCTGGTATTTTGGGGACTATCTCTCGAGTAGCATAACAAATAAATCGAGAATGCTTTCTCGTTCGTGACAACATTTGTATATATCTAATCTGCCGTGATCGAAAGATAGAATGAAAAACAACTGTCGATTTTGCAAATTCGTAAAATCTTTAATTCTCTCTCTCTCTCTCTCTCTCGCTCTTTCTCTGCCTCGAGAAGCGCACTGCGAGCGGAAATGCAGCACAATGTAATTTAACCCGTACTAATGCTAAGATCGCGAAACGGAGCTTGTTTGCCAGCTTGTCATTAGTCACTTTATACAGACGATTCAGCCTGAATGTTAAGTCACGGAATTTCCCGTATACGCGAAAATACACGCTCAATTGCACCGTCGAGAGTGCAGCAGTTTATAACTTAACTCCTTGGGAAATATTTATCGCGCGCGCTTTATTATATTTCTGCGAGTTTAAACGTCATATAATGACATAAGGCTCCGGCCGCTGCTCTCTTCATTACGCCGTGCCGTAAATGGACATTTTGCGCAAACATATATATATTATACACTCTTTAACGAAGCGCCCCCGTATCGTTTTTTTTTTATTTACCTCGCCTGAAAATAAATCGGACGATTCGACGGACGCCTTCGATCCATTTTGCGTAATCCGGCGATACCCTGTCCCCCCCCCCCTTTCCCTTTTCCGCGTCGCAACGTAATAATTATTTCACCATATTGCCGAGAGAGTTGCTCGTTAAAGACACGGTAAACAAGTCCACGGCGACTTTTAATGCACCACTCGCGCGGGATCGCACGTAACGGATGAATTAACGTACGTATATTAAGGCATTTGCGCCGACGATCCAACGTACATTGTGTGCGCGTGTACGTGTGCGCGCGCGCGCGCGTATTACACACGTGTGCGTGTGCGTGTGTACGTGAGCGTGTGTCTCGATTTGTTGCAAGTTAGATATCCTGACCTTGACTACTAATCTATTCCCGCAAAACAGTCGATTCCTCGGAGTATCACGTGTACACAATGACATAATTGCGCGGCACTTTTGTAATTCAATTTCCTCACCCTACATTGTAGCGCGCTGAGACGAATCAAGCCGCGAATTAAAAGCGTATCTCTGAAGAGTTTCAATATCTATTCTGCTCATTAATTATTATTAGCGTTGATCGAGCATAAATAGGTACTTCTTCAAATATCTCTCATATACATCGAGTGTTTATTTACGATTTGTGTATACTCTTTAAATACAATACGTCTGAGAAAGTTAATCAGGTGTTATGAAAATATAAGAATTGTGTGTTACGCCGTTACTTCTGTATAGGGAGTTTCATTCTAGATAAGATATATACTCTACTAGGGTCTTTATATAAGATTTCAACGAGAGAAATTCCAAAATTATTTATAAAATTAATAAATAGAGAGCTTTCGGTGCTTATTACAATTTTAGACTACTTCTGAGCGAATAAATACATCTTTTAGTTTATCTACGATCGATTAAAAAAATGATGTTCCAAATTGTTTTATTTTATCATATTATTGTATTTTATCACAATACGGTTAATTTTTTTGAGCACTACGATAAAAAGATCGAAGACGACTTTTAGATCTTTGGGTTTATTTAGATTATTATCAAACTAAAAGAAATAAATTCTTTTCTTATATTGGTTCTATTATAATTTAGTGTACATTTAATATATCAGAATGCGCATGGTTATACTCTTTGTTTTAAACGATTAATCAGTTCCTTCAACGTATTTGAGAAACGTAGTCAGAGTAATTTAAATTGCAAAGTGAAAGTAAACTGCGCAAAATGAACTACTATCCTATAATTATGCCAGAAGAACGAGGAAGAACGAGTTGTTTTCGCATACAACGTCTCGAATAGACGCATCAACGAATGATCGATAGCCCATCATCGAACAGCCATTGAATCTACTTCCGTTGTTTAAATAAAATTAAGCAAATGTGATTTCTTAGAAAAAAAAATTGTCACAAATGTAATTTATAACTAGCGCATAATCGGTAGATAAAATTATCATTTATTTAAAATTTAAATTAATCCGCTAACGATCTTGTCAGTTTCTCGATCTTGTTGTCCATAATACATTCGCCGTTTGAAGCAGTATTCGATATAAATGCTGATCACAGATGATATACTTGGTGGCAAGGCAAGCAAATAGAAGAATAGACTGCACGTTCTCTGATCTCAGCGCATCTGTGTTTGATTTAGAAGGAAAACGCGATGTTGAATCATGTCCAGTATCTCTCTTCGACTTGATAGTTTAAAGAGAGCAAAATAGATAAAGGCGTTTATTATTACTTTATTACAGCAAAGCCTCTAAAATAAAAAAAATATAAAAGTGACAAGTAAGAAATAAAAAGATAAGAAGTGAAAAGATAAGAATAAAAAAATGAAGAAATAAATATAATAAACAAAATAACAAAATAAATTATAAACAAAGAGAGAGAGAGAGAGAGAGAGAGCAATATGATTCGAGCTATCTCATTCTTTCTAAACGGACAGTGACAACTTTAGCCTATCTAGTTTAGTATGCAATCTGTTCTTATTGACTGCTATTTAATTAAATATCACGTATCGCTGTCGTGTGAAAAGGTTTCTTGACCGGTGTGCATCTATTATCCTCCCGTGTTTTCCCGAGGGTGCATCGACATGCTGAGAGGTTTCGGCGCGCAAAAAGTTCCGTCTGAACTCTGGCGAGAGAGGCAGGAGAAGACTCGCGAAAGGTCGCGCGCGTGCGCGCGCGCACCGCGACGTTCTAGAAAGAGCGCGGATCGCCCGCACGGATGAAATGGGAATGTGTACGAGGCACGGATGCGGGCGGCGCAGTTTTTTCGCGTCGAAGAACTCGAGGAGAAAACCGCGGAGCAATAGAAGTGGCTCGGAACTTTGAAATCGCTCGAGACCCCTGAACGACTCTTCCAAGTTTCCGCTAAATGCCGATACACCAGGAACGATTCCACTTTAGGTGTCCCTTCCCCACCGACGAAACAGACATTCAAGTTCCATTAATAAAAGACTAATCTCGGTTTAACTTCGCTGTTTATCTTTTTCTAATACCCGTTTCGACCAATGTAATTTAATTTTAATCTCGGTTCAACTAACTTCCTTCTCTTTCTCTAGTTTTAATTGTTAGAAAAAGGTGAAGGGTAGGTTGAATTGAAATTAAAGTTATATATATCGATAGAGACGAGAATAATTCTTAGGCTTGGGAAAAGAAAGAGAGGAAATTTTACATTGGTAGGACCGCGGGCCTTAATTTCTATCAATACAGATTAACTTTAATCTCGATTCAACCTACCCTTCGCCTTTCTCGAGTTCTAAGAATTCGAAAAGAATTCGTTGAATCCAGATTAAAGTTAATCTGCATTATAAATGGAATATCTCGAATTGAAACGAACCACCGCGAAGTTAGCGTGTTATTATATCTTCGAGATGCCGATCGAATGGCTATCGATGATAATCGATAATCCCTTATTCTCCAAATCTGATTATCTCGTCGCCAAATTCGCCAAAGTCGCGAGGATCGGGTATACGAAGGAAGAACATATGGCGAACGAAGATCAATGAGAGTGCGATACTTACGATACGTACAAGCCTTCTGCTCCTTGTTGACGTCGGGACACTTAGGTCACGGCACGTTTCACTGATCTTTCGTGAGGTCGGAGTGTGTTGTCATATATAAGTATGCAGATATCAACATCCGGTCCGAGATTTTCGCTACTCAATCAACGACGCCTCTGAATTGCGTATAAACGCCGATTAGAGGCTCCCGCGCACTTCAACGTGCCGCTTCTTCTCGATGTGTGCGACGGATACAGGGCTCGCCGAATGTACAAGAGAAACGTAAGTGCGCACCGTTCTCGAACCGGTCGAGCTCTCGTCGCGCCACCAGGAGTCGAATCGCGCGTGAACGAGAACACCGCCGAGAGAACTTGGCTGTCTTTCGCGTTCGTATAAGAGATCTGCAGTAACGTCTCTCTCTCTCTCTCTCTCTCGCTGCCCGTCTCCGTCGACGGGCAGGCCGGTCTCCGCTCCGGAGCTCGTGGACAACAACTCCCAGAGAGTAGTTCTCGTAGCCGGGTTTCCGTTCCGTCCCCCCCGGAATCGGTTCACGAGCCGCCCGCCGCTCCGTTCTCGCGCGCGCTTGCCGGAGGAACCGGGAAAAAAACGTTTTATACGTTTTTACTCGGCCGGGGGGCAAGATGCGCGCAAAGGGAAAGAAAAAACCGTGTACGTGCCGAACGAAGAGGGCTCAGTTTTAAACACGTCTACGACCACCAACCAGTCGCCGCGGCGAACCAACTGACACTGACAGCGACGCGTATGACTCCGAACGCGCTGGCGCGTACGCACTCCGGCGTCACACTCCCACCCCCCTCCCCCCCACTCCGGCCGGCCCGCGCGGTGTCCTCGTCGCCGTACCCCGCGTGTGTGACGCCGCGCGCCCACACACGCTCGCGAGAGTAGCGACGCGACTCGAGAGAGATCCGATCTCTGTTTATTATAAAATACTACCGCTCGTATAAGTTCGAAGTGTCCTACAGTTTTCAGATAAAAACGCGCGATTCTCTACGAATGTATGATTATTTTATTGAATGTATCATATATATATCAACTTTTATTTCGCTACGTATATCGGTTGGGATAAAAAAAATCAGGATTGTGATGTAGAAATATAGATTTCTGTACATTTCGCAATGTTACTTTGTTTCTGTTAATTAAGAGGGGTTAATCGTTACGATGATTATCAAATGAATTAGTGAAGTAATGCTAATTAAACGTTTGTTCAATGTAATCAAAGATTTGGCATACAAAATTTGAGCCGCGCGCCAAATAAGATTTCGACACGCGGGGTTTACAGAATCACAAATACGTATGTAAATTAATTATACATAAATTCGTGCCGTACCGAAACAATGAACCACAGTTTCGCGTGTTTCTTCCCAGAAGAGAAAAAAGGAGAAAAAATTCTGAACTACCATTAGTTTGCGAGTCAATCGTCGATTAACTCAAGCAGAGGTTGATGAAAAACACCCTTGATACACTTGATTACGCATTTAGCTTTAGTGAAGACCTAAAGGCAAGAACCAATCACATTAAAAAATCCTACGCTTGTTAGACAGCTGTTCTTTCTGCCAAATGTAGCAATTGAACGAACCCAACTTTGCATTCCATTGTCTTCTAACTGCCGCCGCGCACTTTTTGTCGTTCTCTCGATTTTCCTCTCGCGAGCACGTCACGCAACGCGTAACGCAAACTTGCGTAAGGCTCAGGTTCTCTCTCTCTCTCTCTCTATAATTATATATATATATATATATATATATATATAATGTATATTATGTGTGTATTTTTCGTTATTTTCCTTTTTTTAATAATATTTCGTTCTACTGTTTTCACGCCTTCATGTTTATCGTAATGTTGAAGACTTATCTTAGAGCGCGTGATAAATAAAGCTATCTATCTGCCTATCTCTTTCGCGCGCGGAGCGGGGCTCTTCGCCGCTCGTGGGATCGCGGATGGTGCCCGAAAGAGAGAGTAGGCCACGAGTAGTGGCGTGAGTTGCGCGATCGATCGGTGAGCTGAGACTTCCGCGATTTTCCGGTATCGCTGAACGCGTTATTACCTCGATCTTTGTTTTCCTCAAAATTTTGCGAGCTCTGCCGCGCAATCTCGCACGGCCTGATGACTTGAAAAGCGTTTTAAGTTTCTTAATGTCTACGTCCTGCGTTTGAGGAATTACGATTGCGAAACTGTTTTGACGAAATGCACTCGTAAAGAATTAGATAGGAGCTCGGCTGTACTCGACGCCGGTACATATTACGCGTACAAAATTCATTCTATGCAAATTTGGCGTCGCTATGACAATTATTCGCGTATGTTTATTTTGAGAGAAATCTTTATGATATATTATTCACTTTCAATTTTTTGGCTATCGTGAAATACAATATTGTATCGATTATGAGATAGAATGAATGATCAAATTTTATTTGGTTCGTAATTCTTGAACAAAGTATATAAAAAAATATAGAAACTCAAAGTGCTTTTTAACTTGCTCTAAGCACGCAAGATAAATGTAACAGTGTCCGTAAAAAATAACACAATCATTTTAATTCCCGATTAATACGAGCCTGAAAAACTGAAATAATACAATAATCCTTAAAAAACGGTTTTTTTAATTATACTCGGTTTTTTTTTTAAATATACTTATGTAACAAAATGTACTCGGTTAATTTAACTGTAAATGGTTGTTGTATATCTATATAATGACATAGCCTTCAAATTTGGCCTAGAATCGAAATTGTACTTATGAGCAATGATACCCAGAGAAACGATGAATTTTATAGACTTCCGAACGCTTAAATTTTTCCGCGTACTTCCGTAAACAGAGTAATCAAATCCTACGTGCTGCATTATAATAATTTTCAGAGACGACGCGAGTATTACGCGCTGCGAGAGACAATGTCGCGACGTTTCTCTATCCCGGGTCTTACATAATAACCGGATCAATTACTTCTGCCTATAAGTAGGACAACTTCGAGTCGTTACGCGGCCTTGTTTGCGCTCTTTATCTTCGAAATTGTTGCAATTCTCAAATAGCGTCGTCCTTTCTTCTCACGTCCATATTCCGCGGGCAGAGGTAACGCGTTCTAGCAGCTTCTAGAATCGGTGGAACTATAGACGTCGATGTCAGATAAGAGCTTATAGCCATTTGTTTCTCGTAACCTATAGGCTAAATACGTCCTTCCGTGCACCAAGAGTTATTGTCCTACTTTACGTTATGTACCGTATTTTCCGGATTCCCCTCGGATACCTATAATATTGTTGTTCGAGCAGTTGTTCAATCATGACGACTTGACCTAAGCGGAAGCCGTAGAACATATAGGATGTAGTTAACATCGAAGCGCTTGATGGCGATTAATTTGATGTAATTAGTGTTGAATCGATATTTCAACGTGTCTTTTCATATGATAGGAGAAATGGGTGAATATTTTTATGCAGATAAAAAAAACGTGAGAAAAACGTAAATGATTAAACAAGATTAGACATTAGATTTAGATTAGATATTTGTTATTTTTAAAGATAAATAAAAATTGTGGAAAACAAAGTAACAAGATACAGAAAAACATCGTGCGACAAAAGTAATTCCTTTGTATAAAATTCCACATAACTATCTTCATTTCTTTAACCGGAGTAAATTAAAAAATTAATATATTATTTAATATAATAAATATAAAATTGAATGTGTGATTTATTAATATTTACGAAAATCAATTTTCAATTTAATATTAAAAATTATATTTTATATATTCGATATGATAATTCCTCAAATTATAAAAGTTTGTCCAAAAAAATTATTAATAGTCGTCATTAATATATTAGAGACTAGAAAGAGAGTGTCAAGAATGTTAAAAAAAATATAATCTGCAGGATTTTACATATAAGGATAAGAAATTCCGTGTGTCAATATTGTACGAAAAGTTTGCAATGAGTTTAACATAGTAAGGCAATGAGTGTATGAATAAAACGTAGATTGAACTTAAGAAGTACATACTTTAATAGCGAGTATTTACTATGGTATTAAACTCTGCTTGTGGAAGTTTGGTATTAAAATTACGTCATTAAACGCACACCGTACGAATGGAAAGGAATTTATATTTACAACGGGGTTTTTCTTCCGTATCTAGATCCTGCATAGAGTCGCCTCCCATCCGTAGAAATTCTCAGTACAGAAGCACAATGAAAGTTTCGAGATAGAAGCAGCTCTCGTTTGAAGCAGATTAAAATCGGCGGAATGTAATATGACTCTTTTTCGTTAAGTTTTTTCGTTACATGTGTTTTTGTTTTACAAAATCCACTGTGAATGCTTTAAATATATTTGAGCGTGTTTTCTCATACGTCGAAGTAACATTACTATCTCACGCGTGTTAGATCATATATTATCTCACTTAAAATTCCGGATTTCCCAAACGCAAGATTGTATTCATTTTTACTCATGTACTATTCATAACGAGGCAGGTAGTCCTCCCGCGTATTGTCGAGGTGATAAGTGAGAATAGATATTTATGATTATTGAAAAAAGAGAGAGAGAGGACCCAGGAAAGAAACTGCGTTTAGAAGGACGACGCAAGTAGAACATCGGATCTGCGGAAACGAATCGCAGTCGTGCAGTTCGACATGATATGACATGTATATATAAGACAATATATGCAAACGATATTAAATTTAATCTATAAGTGGACTAAGTAATGTCTCATTAATGTATTTCAGAATGGAATAATTTAAAAGCGGGCGGAAGATAGTCGTCGCGGCAGGTAGAACGTCGTGAGTTCCGACTGTCCGTGGAAAAGAAAAACTCTTCCAGGGTTCCAAAGACAATTTTAGGTCAAACAGTTATTGCAGGTTATTGACTCGAGACATCAGATCGTTACTTTCACGTCATAGTGTTGGTCGTGCTTTTAAATCGAAGCGGCGGTTAATCTATTCTCGGACGCGCTATACTGCCGATGTAACAATCCTGCCATTCATCGTTAGGCAAAGAATGTAAGGAAGCAATGATAAATTTTTTAGATATCCACAAAGTCGGTGGCGGTTCTGCACGCGTCTTCTCGCATAAAAGAGGAATTTGTAAAAAAAAAATATGTCTATATGGAGAGATTCCTATTAAATGTTTGCGATCGATGACGTTTAAGTATAAGCAACAGAGTCGCGCTAATTATCTAATTTTGTGGATAATTCTACTTGAAGAATTTATCTAAACTTTTAGCCCTCGACGAGCTTGCAATGATTTAAAAATGTTTTAATTTTTTTTTACCCGACTAAAGGTATAAAAATTTAAAAATTGCAAGAACTGTGCTCTTCTTTCATATTATAGAAATCCTATATTATATCTGTTTTATCTATTTAAAATTTATATTAAAAAATTCTCTAGTCTTTTATTTAAAAATAATTTACGGTATATAATTGAAGAGAGAGAGTTGTGAAATATTCTATCATGCATACACAGGGTGGTCTAAAATTCGCGACTCAAAATACTGCAGCAAGAAAATTTTTTTTAAATTAAGTAAAAAAAAAAGTTATTTGTAAATTTTTATATTAAGCAATAGTTTCTAAGACATAAGAGTTTAATACGACCAATTACAGACTACAGTAAATGTTGATGAACAAGATAAAGTGCGCGCTCGTCAGCGCTCCCTAAACTCGTGTGATCAATGTACATGTAGCCATCTCAACATAGTCTAGACAGTCTAATTAATAATAATAATAAATAATATGACTCCTTT